GGTAAAATGAGGATCATATCCAGACAGGTTATGGGAAACTATTGATTGATGAAAAATGAAATTTGATATTGTAGATTACAATTTGGGTGGACTGGATCTCTAAATCATCCGGTGAGATGGCAATGATCGCAAACTCTGTCGTTACCCGACGCAAATGGTTTTTCACATACGTGACAATGAGATGCATTGGTAAATGTGCTCTTTTGCTCAGGTGTTAAAAAATCCATATGTCTGCTAACGGACTGAGTGTATTGATATTTTATATAGCTCAATGAATCTACCCCGCGGTGACACTTATACTTCGATAGTGAGATATCGTATGAACATTGAACATAATACCTAATAGTATACTCAAATAGTGTGCGCGGTGATCTCCTTCTTACCGACACACTGTAATGTAGGAATTCGTCCAAATTATAGTATCGACAATTTTTGGTGGTTGCCATGTATGTGCTACGTTAGGGTCCGTGTACATTCGCGATGACCTCTTTTATCCCGTAGATCATAATAAGAATTTGCGGTGTCCATGATTTTTTGAAGGTCACGGTGACCCCCTCTACCCCATAAATCGCGTTAGGGCTCCGCGTATGTTCGCAATGATAAAAAGTGCAGCTTCAGCGAATTTTGAAGGTCGCACATGTACGCGTCACTCCTCTCCACATACCCCCGCATCACCATATACTCGTCGGCCCCACGTCCCTCTGAGCTATCCTGGGGTTTAAAACCCCCTGACATATCTACTCATCGATTCTGATGCAAATTTCTCGACGGAAATTACGCGTATAACGCAACGGCTCTTTTCCTGTTTCAGAGGACAGTTCCCAAGAACTTCGATTATGCGCGTGTAAATCCGTATAGGCATTGCATAACCGCGGTTGGCATTATTTTCTTGTTACATGGCCCACTTCAACCATACGACGGTCCTGCACGGCGACGAAGTATAATGTTATAATTACCCAAAATCGATTGTTAGCGTTTTTAGTTTGCACGTGGCGAACAATCGAAGCACTTACTGGAAGTCCTTCGATGGTTTCAATTTATGAACACATTGTTTTTAACAAATAGTAATTTTATGTTGCATTATAACTTTTGTAATTGTTCTGGTGCTGATAGGAACGTTTTATCTAACTAAACTATGTGTATAAATAGTTTTTACTGATAGTGCAATATCATGCTGCGACAATGCCATGCAATCAGCGTTCATAAAATAATGAACTGGCTTTAACCCATTTGCATCATAAGCGCATATATGCGCGCATTTTGCCTGGCCACTATCACCAGAGCGTGCATATATGCGCACATTCCACTTGGGCATTTATTACTAGAACGTATATTATACCCATGCGTATTTGGCTCTCAGTCAATGAAAAGAGGTGATCGCGAATAGTTTCAGGGTAAAATAACTTAGAAAAATAAAAAAAAATGGATGGTTATATTTCCGACAGCAGTGAAGAGGTAATTAGATTTAGAAAACGTAGACGTTCTATGGCGATTTCTTTTGATAGTAGTGATAATAATCACAGTGNTATAAGTACAAAGGATGTCACACATATTTTTTATGAGATGAATATTACATGATTTTAAATCGTTGATTTTCAAGTCATATTTTTTTACATCCATAATTCACTTTCAAGGGGCAAAGAAATCAATGGAAGTACAAAATTCACAACGATGTGTGACTATTTATATAGTTTAATTTCTCGTAAATCAGTATCAGCGTTCTCAAATAGGATCCCTACGCATTCTCTGTCCCCTCTACCACCGAATATTGTTCGATTCTCCAACTTCTTTGTCGCAAAATACTCTTATTAATAATTGACACATGAGCTTTCTGAATACTCGGCCAGGAAAGTGCAAATTTTTCTCAATTCTTTAACTCAATTCCACTAACTATATAGATAAAAGATTATCTCCTGCATTATGTCCCGACGAATTATTCTTTCTACATTAATGCCTAAAAGTGTTTGTTTTTATCAGCCAATTGATCGTGTGACTTAAACTTTTATCTTCAATGTCACCGTCCAGTGAAACAGCTATTAGGTAATTGGTATAATCTATAAGTAGACATGACATATTTGTCCTCCCATTAGCTTCACCTCTTCTACTAATTAGTGAACGACGTCGTCCGAATTTAAATACAGCTCAGTACCACTCTACTTCAGTCGAACTACGAACGTAGGAGCAGCAGCAGCAGCAACACAGACAATTAGTCATTCAAGTCGAAAATGATATGTGCACTCTTTATACTTTTAACGGCTACGTTAGCGTTGTACTTGTACTTGAAATTCACGTATTGGAAAAGAAATAATATTCCAACGGCCAAAGGATGGTACCCGATCGTTGGTCACATGCTACCCGCGTTAACCATGCAAAAAGCTCCGGGCGTACTAGTTCAAGAAATGTACCAGCAGTACAAGGATTGCAGCATGGTTGGATTTTACAAAGGATTAGTGCCGGCATTAGTTGTCCGCGACCCGAATTTGGTGAAATCCGTGATGCAAACTAATTTCTCGAGTTTTCCTATAAACAGTTTCCAGATTTTAGAGGAGGTGGATCCCCTGTTAGCTCAAAATACATTTGTCGCCCACGGGGAAAAATGGTTAAATGGAAGGAAGCGATTGACCTATGCGTTCACAAGTGGCAAGTTGAAAATTATTTTCGTGGTAGTTGCCGAAGTATGCAAGAAATTCCAAGATTACTTAGAGAGGCGGCTGAGCTCCAACGACAAGTACGAAGTTGATCTGAAGTATCTGTTCTCAAAATTTACTGGCGAAGTTACGGCGAACGCTAGTGCGGGCATCGAAGGGCGCTGTTTCGAGGACGTAGATGATCCTTTGGCGTTCGATCAGATCGGCCAGGCTCTCTTTCAACCGAATTTCTTCAGTAGAATTATACTTAACTTTCTACTTCTATTTCCCAGCCTGAATCGTTTCGCAAAGATCAAGTTCGTGAACGAGGAAGTCCAACAGTTGTTCAGAAAGATGGTGAAGGAAAATTTGGAACATAGACGAGGGGAATCAACGCCCCGGTACGACTTTCTCGAAGTAATGGTACAATTCGAGAAAGAGGAAGGAAAACAGCTGTCTTTGGAAGCTCTCACTGCTGATGTATTATCCTTTTTCCTCGACGGATTCCAAACATCAAGCACTACTCTCAGTTTCATTGGATTTCAACTGGCTACGCATCAGGATGTTCAAGAGAGACTACGAGAAGAAGTGAAGTCTGTTCTGAAAAAACACGGAGGTGTGTTAACGTTCGAATCGCTGAAAGACATGACTTATATGGACCAAGTAATTAGAGAATCGCAAAGATGTTACGCGACAGTGAGTAACATGAACAAAGTATGTACAGAAGAGTGCACGTTGGAAGGATCGGATGGGCTTAAGTGTCGCGTGAAACCTGGCACCGAAATTGTCATACCCGTTTATGGACTGCATAAGGATCCGACGTATTGGTCCGATCCGGAGACCTTTGATCCAGATCGTTTCAGCGAGGAGAGGAAGCACGAGATTAATAAGATGACATTCCTCCCATTCGGCGAGGGGCCAAGGATGTGCGTGGGAATGAGAATGGGACTGCTACAAGTTAAATCTTGTTTGGCTACCTTGCTCAAAGGCTATAAATTGGAATTGTCGCCTAAAACGAAACTGCCTTTCAAACTGCTGTCGTTCATTTTTCTTACAGAAGCAGAAGGCGGACTTTGGGTATATC